CTCAGGGCTAGGTGCTGTCTCTGAGCTTTTGTGTTCAAGGCTAGCACTCTGTGACTTGAGCCACAGCTCCACTTCTGACTCCCCCCCCCCTCTCTCTCTAGTGTTTGATTGGAGATGATAGTCCTAGGAACTTTCTTGCCAGGGCTGGCTTTGAACTGCAATCCTCAAATCTCAGTCTTCTGAGGAGCTAGGATTAGGATTATAGGCATAAGCCACCAGCGCCTGGCTTGGGGAGCACTTTGTGGTCATCCTGAGTTGCTGTTGTCAGGAAAGAATATCCTGCCTGAGGATGTCTCTTATTATGGTAATTTCAGAGTACTGTTAACCTTGAGACCCCAGCCTTTGTCCGTTTGAACCAAGAACATGAATATGAAACAAAGCCCAGCAACCTTCATTACAACTCTGTTGAATCTCAGATGTGTTTCTATCCAAACATTTGGGGAGCTTAGGGCTCACCAGACATTGATGGGGGTCTGCTACCCAAAAAGAATAGCTGCTTGCTTTATGGAATTTCTTCCTTTTGCCAAAAAAAAAAAATGGAATAATTGCCACTCAGCAATAACACCACTAAATAGCAAAATTTACCATGTATAAGTCTAAGAAAGTGCTCAGCAACAATCAGATGCTTAATCTATGTCCCTGCCCCCTTGGGACTGCCTGCAGGCACAGTCACAGCTTAACTATGAGAATGTATGTCAAGAGTAAGCAGCGAATGTGCTTTGTACATTATTTTCTGTTTATGGAGAATGCGACTAGTCTGGGTGGGTGGCAGCAGAATGCAAGATCAATGGAAATTTATTCTCACCAAATCTTCCAAAGACCACAGGATATAGCTTTTCTTTTTAGAGAGAGAATGGTATTGGCTCATCTGTCAATATACTTTTACTCAGTGCTACCCTGGACAAATCAGAAGCCACTTCACCCCTCCACCAAAAAAAAAATTCTCATTTTAGTTAGAGAAGACAGTTTTGGTGTAGATAAAGAAAAAGACCCCTCTACACACACACACCTGAAGAACTAAAATAACATCCCATTTGGCTCTCATTCCCATTTTACGGACAAGCATTCAGAAAGCAGAGAGGTTAAATGACTTGCTCAAGTTCATACAGTTGGTAAGTAGCAATAAAGTGTTTGTTCTTAGTCTGTTTAACTCTTGATAGGGTCAGAGTCAAAGTGAAGCTCAAACTGACCTCCCTATTGATTAAAGCAATTGTGGAAAACAAAGCATTTGACTGCTCTTCCTTTCAACCCAGTCCTTAAGGTGGTATAGCTATAGGTATCTGGCTTTTATGCCTTTTTCTGTAGGCAGACTCGGTTGCCTTTGTCCATTTATGTCTGCCTGGCTGGATATCTTTCTCCCTCCTGGCTGACTGTTCCCCTCCCCCACTGACATCTTCCCACGTTTGCCTAGCTTCTCTCTCTCCTCTCCCTCTCTTCTTCCCTCCCTCCCTCATCTCTCTCTCTTCCTCCCTCCCTTTCTCTCTCTCTTTCTCTCTCTCTCTCTCACACACACACAAATTGAGACCCACACCTTCCCACCACACACCCATATGCAAAATAAAATTAGAAATACCACCTGACTATCAAGGTATTTAAGGAATGGAGATGCTCAATCAATATGGCCCAAATCAAGCACTCCAGGCTCCTTCCCTCCCAAGCCATTGTAAGAGGCAGCCAGAGCTGGCCAAGGGGCCAGAAAGCCAGCTGTCCTGTTTCACAAGGCTGCTCTGAGAGGGAATAGGCCACTGGTGCTTCCTGGGGCCACTGGAACTTATAGCACTACCAGACTCTCAAAGGCCACCACCTGGTATGCTATTCTGCTTGTATATAAGATCCTTCCAGAACATGTGAGGTTTCCTGGCCCCCTTTTTATTTTTATGTATGCTGATAAAATACAGAGAAAACAGTGTCTGATGATTCAAAAATAGAGGCTGAGCTGATCAGCATATGGCCCTTGCTTCAAGGGATTGCTCTTGTTTTAATCAACCAGTGGAGAAAACAATAAGCATTTCTGTATTCTATTTGCCTGCTGCCAAAGGAGTGGAGCAGGCAGCTTGGTGCAGCTCTAACAGCTGGGAAACTGAGGCTAACAGAAGCCCCTGTGACCCTACAGTATTTCATGTTCTAAACCTGTCCTCATTTGTCACATGGTGGTGCTTCACAGCACCCACCGGAGAAATGTGACCTCTGGGTAAACAAAGGAGAAAGGAAGAGGGAGGTGGGTGGGGGTGGGGCTCCAAGCAGAAGCTCCAGGTTCCAGGTCTAAATCTGGGTAAGCCTCATTGTCCCTCCTTCCCAGAAACCAAAGCTGTTCCCGGGTCCCAGGATAGGTGCTTGATTGTGTTGAGAGGCTGGGAACTGGAGCCTAAAGGCTCAAATGAGAGATCGACCCAGGCTGTCTTCACCCACTCTATGAAGGTGGGCATGGAGCTGAAGCTCCTTGGAGCCCCAACCTTCTCATCCCTGGAATGGGGCTCATCCAACTCCTCAGATCGTGCCAAGAAGATTCATGAAACCACCTCACGCCAAAGGCTTAGCCCAGCAGTGCCTGGGACCTAAGAAGGGCCGCATCTGTAGTGTCCAGCAAGCTGTTTTAAGACACAGACCTCTGCTTCCTCCAGGCAGGCTCAGGGTACGGGTTTTCTGTCGGTTGCCATTTAAGCTTCACGCCTCTCTACAGATGAGGATACTGGAATGTAAGATCGCACCCGTAGTGAATGGTGGATCTTTAAGCCCAGGCATACAGACTCAGGGCGGCTTTCCCCCCTTCCCCCGCCCCAGACCACGACCACAGCCCTTTTGCTAATCGACACGGGTGTTGTCTAGCTACGACGCCCCGCCGAGCTCTCAATCCCCCAGGTTTCCAAAGCCCACAGCAGGGAGGGTAATTGGTCACTGCCAGGGTGCCGGGAGGAGGGCGGAGGAGCAGGGGCTGGCTAGAGCATCCACATCAGGGCTGAATCCGCAGCTCCCAATAGGCACCGGCTCTGAAAGTCAGGCAGGGCGCCCCAGCCCGCCTAAGAGGCGCGGGGAAGGGCGGGGATGCGGGGGGCAAGTCCACGGCAGAGCCGGTGGCCGGAGCCCCGCCCCCAGGAGCGGAGGTGGAGGGGGGGCGCCAGCTGCCGTCCCCGCCGCCTCCCGGTCCCCACTCGCTGGCGCCCAAGTGGGAGGGCAGCAGCTGCCCGCTCCCTCCTCCCACACCCCCGCTACCTGCCCAGTCCCCCGACGCGGAGCGGGAGGCGGCTGCGAGCCAGCCGGGCCGAGCCCACAACTTTGCAGCCTCGGGGAGGGTGAGAGCCGACGGCGTCCGGGGCTCTCCGGTGGTCGGCGATCAGAGCTCGGTGAGTTCATTTCCTTACCCCGCGGCGGCACCGGGCGGGGCGAGGGGGAGGTTGGGGACGGGCGGCTTCCCGGGCGTCCCAGAGGCAGTGGCCGGGGAGCCCGCGGCCGCCCGCGCAGCCTGGCTGGCTCGGCCGGACTCGCCCTGGTCTGCCGGCGCCGGTGCTGAACGGACAGCTCCCCGCGTCCCCCGCCGGCGCGCCGCCTCTCCCGCGCCGGGCCCGGGCGGCGGCGGCCCGCCGAGCACCCCTCTCACTCGCGGGCCCCTGCCCTCCGCCTTCCCAGCCGCATCTGGAGGCTGCTCCCGCGCCCCCCTGGCGACTGGCGCGGGGAAGACACTTGCTTCGCCCGAGCCCGGGACCCAGGGCCCTCCGGGGTGGGCAGAGGCGTTGCAGCCTCTGGGGGCGCACGGCTAGGGCCGGCGCCGAGCCCCCAGCTCCCATCTCCAGGCGCGCCCCGCGGCTGCACCCCGGCTGCAGAGAGGCCTGAGCGCCCCACCGCGGCCTCGGGGCCCCGGAGGGCGGAGGAGATAGCAATACCGTCACCTGCAGCAAGGATTGCTTCGGTCTGGACGGGACAGCCAGGCCCGAGGCCCCGTGGCACCCGCCCATCCTGGGTGCCGCCGCCTTCCCAGAACTTTTTTCGCGCCTCCCCCTGGCCGGTTCCTTAGACCTTGGAAAAGTTCTCTCCCGCGCGCGGGGCTGATTTCCTCTCGGCTTCCGAAGTTGGGCGGGAACCGGGGCCGTGGGGGGGGAGGCCGCGCTCGGCGTGGGGGGCGCCGGTCCCAGCAAACGCTGGCCAAGAAGCGGCCATCCAGGCCGGGCTTGGGCTCCGGTGCCAGAGGGTTTGTTCGGACGTCTCTGTCGGGGAGGGCGGGAGGCAGGCTCGAATTTTGGACCGGCCCCAGGGGCGGCAGCGGCGGGGCTCCGGGCTGGGGATGGAGGACAATTCGGGCTGAAGCAGCACCCAACCGCACAGGCTCGTCGACTGCGCCTCCACCTCCACAAGGCGTCAATGTATCGATTGTTTTAATTGATTGTTTTTTTTTTTAAATAGAAAAACCAGGTGGCAGCGGCTGCGTGTGTGTACACAGACACAGACACAGACACAGACACAGACACAGACACAGACACACACACACACACACACACACACACACACGCCCCCTGCCACATACCTCCAAAGAAGCTTGGGTAATCTGTGAGGTCCCTCAATATCCCCAAGATGGGGATCTGGGGACAGAGGAAGGAGGGGTGAAGCAGGACTCCAGTCAGTCGAATGACTGACTTTGCCTCTGACTTCATCCCCCTCAATCCTTCACTTTCTTTTCCAAGAGATGTCTGAACCTGAAACCCCAAAGCTGGGCTCGTTTCCAGGGGGCCGCAGCCCCATCTCTCAGCCCACAACCCCCACAGACCACAAACGCAGCTCCTCTCCCCACGGTGCTTGTTGAGCCCATAGCTGTAGGGCACCAAGGTCGCCAGATCCAGGGTGCTGCAGGCCCTGCTGGGATCCCTGGCTTTCTCGCCTGCTTGGACCCAAGATAGGGAAAGTGACCCAAGAAGCCCCTCCCCGCTTCGGGAGCGCACGAGGACGCCCCCACCTGGAAGTCCGCAGTAAGTCTTCCCCTCACCTTGTGCCCCACAGGAATGTAATCGAGGATGCTGGCCCTGCGGCTGCTCAACGTGGTGGCCCCTGCCTACTTCCTGTGCATCTCCCTGGTGACCTTCGTCCTGCAGCTCTTCCTCTTCCTGCCCAGCATGCGGGAGGACCCCGCCGCTGCCCGCCTCTTCTCGCCCGCCCTGCTCCATGGGGCGCTCTTCCTATTCCTCTCTGCCAACGCCTTGGGCAATTACGTCCTGGTCATCCAGAACTCTCCGGATGACCTGAGCACCTTCCAGGGGACCTCATCCAGGAGGGCTCAGTGTCCCCCGCCCAGCACCCACTTCTGCCGAGTGTGCGCCCGGGTCACACTAAGGCACGACCACCACTGCTTCTTCACGGGCAACTGCATCGGCAGTAGGAACATGCGCAACTTCGTCCTGTTCTGTCTCTACACCTCCCTAGCCTGCCTCTACTCCATGGTGGCTGGCGTGGCCTACATCTCGGCCGTCCTTTCCATCTCCTTCGCCCATCCCCTGGCCTTCCTCACGCTCCTGCCCACCTCCATCAGCCAGTTCTTCTCCGGTGAGTGGGCTTCCGCTGGCAAGGCCAGCAGACAACCCAATCCACTGACATTAAAATGTAGGATAAACAGTAGTTTAGTATAATTATGTCCCAATATTGCTGAGACATAGTTACACTAAGGACATCTGAAATTCAAATTAAATGGACCTGCTGTATTTTACCTGACAACACTTCCTGCTCCTCTCCTCCCCTGCCTGTCACCCAGACCATGCACCTGCTGTGTGCAGGAAACATTCCTGCACATGGCTCATGCTATGACCTTCCTTGGTCAGGATCCCAGGCCTTCTTACATATTCCCCTAAGGACTTTGGCCTCCAGGGGTTTTACTAGCCAACCACCATAAGACGGAACTTGACACCAGGCCGTGCTATGTGCTCCTTCCTGCCCTCCAGACTTTGGCTGCCTGGAGGTGGCTCAGAGCAGGGAAACTGGTCAGAGATGCAACCATGCTTCATGGTTCCATGTCCACAATCTGGAGCTTGGGCCTGAACCTCTGGTGCCAGGCATATGGGTCATCACATTGGTGCCCAGGTGAGGCTTGTACTTTAGTATGCTGCCAGGAATGTGACCTGATGGGAGACTTAGCTCCTGGTGACAACCCTTACTGTTTTACTTGCCCCTGAAATTTGCCTTTACTTCAATTTCCTTCCACTCCTGGCCTTTGAATCTAATTTGATTCCTACAATTGGTAGTGAGCACACAAGTGTGTGTGTGTGTGTGTGTGTGTGTGTGAGATATGGCATTGACTTCATTCTGAAGAAACAGACTTGGATAGGACTAAAGGGCTTACCCAGAGTCTCCCTACTCCTGTGTGTCTGTCACTGGTCTCACCCCGGGTCCAGAAACCATAAGCCAATATTCTTCTTCACCAGAATAAGAAGAGAATGTATTTCTAAATACAATGAGCTTCCAGGGCAAACAAAGACAGCTACTTTCCCTCAGCACCCAAGACTGTTTTGATGCACCTGGACTGACCTGGGCTGGACATTTATACAAATTTCGCTCCACTCTAGAGGAGCTACATCATTCCATCTTTGTTATGGCTACAGCCTCAGTTCTTTCCAGGCATGGAACTATTGTGCCATTTGGCAGTAGGAACACAGAGACCCAGGGAGGACCCAGCCAAGGGGGATGCTGGGTGTCTGGTGGCTGAGCTGGGCCCAGAACTCAGAGCTCTCAGGCCTTCTGGATCTCAGTGCTGGCATAGGAGGCTGCCAAGACCAAAATAACCAGGATGGGGGAGGGTAGGTGGGCGGGCTGTGGGGTGGGGTGTGAGCAAAGACAGGTGGAGGGATGAGAAGAGCCAAAGAACCTGATTGCACATCCCTTTCCAAGTAGTTACACTAACCATAAAAATGGGTGGTTCCAGAAGGAGATTCTTAAATGGTTTGATTTAAGTCTGGGCTGGAGGCCTGTCCATATGTGCTAGGTTTGGAAGATAAGAAAGAAAGAAAATCCCTGCTTTGATCCGGTGGGAAAACAGCTGGTCAGTGACCACCTTAGGGCTAGATCCATGTTTCCATATCAGGATGAGTTTGTCTCTCTCACCGTGCCCCGTGGGAAAAGAGGCCAGGGTTGCTCATCTCCAGCTCTCTCATTTCCTTTGTTGACCCTTCATCTTTGCCATCCTCTCTTCTTCCCCCTTGTACACACCTTTGCTCAGAGTCCCCCTTCACTCTTTCCCACCTCCAGTCCAAACCATTGAGAGCCCATCCTCTCTCATCTCTCAGGAGAGGTGGCAGGAGGGAGTAGGAAGGCACATGTTGTTTGATTGGAATTGATCTGTCTCCAACTCTGGTACCGACCCAGAGTCAGATCTGCTGCCAGAGCACGAGACAGCTGTGAATGTGGGCCCCGTGAGCTAAAAATGGGAAAGATCTTCTAAAGTGAAGGTGGCTGCCGATCCAGGCCTTCAGCTGATACCAGAGACAGAGGAGGCCAGCTGGTCAGACTTTACAGTTGTGTTTTCTTCTGGCATTGGGGCTCCAGTATAGGCAAATGTCATCTCTCTCAACTCCCTTCTTTTCTGGAGAATGGAGGTGACATCACTTCATATATGTCATGATATCTGAGTGAGTATACCAGTGGATACCCAGTGGAGCGTCCAGTAGGAGGGAAAGGGGACTGACCAATGTTTCTCTATAGGGTACATCTCATTTCATCCATCCATCCATGACACATCTGTGAGGTAGGTATTTTTGTATGTTTTAAGGCTCAGAAACCAAAGGCTTAGCCAGATGAAGTTGTTTTGGACCCATAAAGCCTTGCCCTGCTGCCTTCGAAGTTCTCTCTTCCCAGTGAGCCACACTACCTCTCTAGGCTGCCTCCTGGTTCTGCTTCATGACAAATATGAGCCCCTTTGGAAGGGAGGAAGCTTCCTGTCCCTAGATATATTAAGGAAGATGGGGGGTGACCATCTATCAAAAGTGTCATAGATTGTTGGTCAGAGGCAGGGACAGAGAACTTTGAATGATGTAAGCTTTTTAGGCCCTTAAAAAAATTCTTGGTTCTCAAAAAGAAGTGGAACTATTATTAAAGTTAAGAAAACCTGAAGCAGTCAGGCTCGGTAACTTCAAACACTTTGAGAGAAAACAGGAACCCAGAATAGCCTTTTGTAGCTACTGTATGGGGCCAAGGGAAAGGCCACAAGGTCTTTTCCTCCTGCCTTGATTTAGAGCCAGAAAAAAAAAAGACCTATGAGAAACAGCTTCCATCAGCTCAGGCTTGTTCCTGAGGCTGACTTGCAAGGCAGGCCTGAGCTTGACAGCTCTGATGTTCTCATATCCCATGGTCCCTTTTTGCCCATCAGCATTCCTTCAGCCTGAAGGGTACCATGGCCCCAGGATCCTTTTCTGCACATGGTTGCTCAAGCTAATCTGGACTGACAAGGAGGAAGTGGGTCAGGGGATGGCGCAGGAGCCTGCCCCACTGCTGTCCCCATACCAGCAGAGGGGCTACCGTGAACGCCAGCTCTCAGTGAGCTTTCTATTCCCTGGACAGCTGGAGCTATTTGTCTCCAACTATGCAAAGAAAAACCTGTCAAAAGCTCCTAGGGATGAGCAAAAAAGAGGCTGCTAATGAGCAAGCCTGCTCAGACTGGACCATTCTCACGCTGCTGAATTCCCTGGGGTCTGGAAATAGGGACCTAGGAGACCTGGGAAGAGATGGGCTGGGGCAAACAGGATGCTGAGATTTGCAGGGGGTAGAATAGGCCGAGAGGTGGTGTTGCTGAAGAAAACCTCCCTAGAGAAGGGGTGGCCCTATGAGGAGCAAAGGGCCATGGAAGGGATTTGAATTCTTTTCTGAGCTCACTGCCCTGGCTACTGAGCATATCAAGTAGCTGTCTTTACTATAATAGCTAAAGCTACAGTGCAACCAGGATTCTAAATCCAGGATGAGGGTTCACGAATTAAACTTGAATGCTTGGGTGTAGTTTCTTCCTCTATAAAATAAGTCAGGCTGGGTGCCAGTGGCTCATGCCTGTAATCCTAGCTACTCAGGAGGCTGAGAGATGAGGATCACGGTTCAAAGCCAGCCTGGGCAGGAAAGTCCGTGAAACTCTTGTCTCCAATAAACTACCAGAAAACCGGAAGTGGCGCTGTAGCTCAAGTGGTAGAGCGCTATCCTTGAGCTAAAGAGCTGAGGGACAGCACTCAGGCCCAGAATTCAAGCCCCACAATCAACAAAAATGAAAAAAGAAAATAAAATAAGTCAGGTGCTAGTGGTATATGCCTATAATCTTAGCTACTGAGGAGGTTGAGATCTGAGGACCACTGTTTGAAGCCAGCCTGGGCAGGAAAGTCTGTGAGACTATTCTGTCCAATTAACCACCATAAAGCAAAAAATGGAGGTATGGCCCAAGTGGTAGAGCACCAGCCTCAAGCAAAAAAAAGCTAAGGGACAATGTCCAGACCCAAGTTCAAGCCCTAGGACTGGCACATGTGTGCACCTCCCTACCCCCCTCCCTTTTTTTAAAAAGACCTCTGGCAAAGGAGTGTTGCACTGAGTGAAAACTGGAATGCTCACCCATCTGTACCCTGTTTGCTTCATCCTGCAACCCCTGTGAAATCATGTTTTTACACCCAGATGAGCTAACTAAAACCCAGAGAACATAAGAAACTTGTATTTAGTCTACCCAACAAACCTACCACGGACCAGTCTCCCAAACTCTGGAACAGTGTGTGGATGTTTAAAAGTGATCACAGGGAGTGTTTGGTTTAGAGGAGTTTAGGGGTGGTGTTGCCCCACAGTAAGGGACCACACTGATCACTTTGGGGTTCTCTTCTAGCCTGTGTCAGCACAGCTCTCGCTGAGTGTTCTGGGCCTCTGGTTAACATTCATGAATGAATTATTCTCTTAAGTCAGTGCTCTGCTCTGTGCTGCCCTTGAGGCAGAGCTTGTGACTTCTGCTTCTTCTTGATGACTAGGTCCTGTTCTCCATCATGCTGTCACTTTCCAGAATCCTCCCAGACATTGCTCCCAGCCGCTGCCCTCCCTCCCCCAGGGAGAGAGTGCTGAAGTCTAGACAGCTACCCAGACACTAGTTGCCTCTCTAGGGTCCTCAGCTCACCCCTCTCTCTCCTAGAGAAAACCTGAAAGCAGGGTGGGGATGGGGGTGGGGCGGGGCGCAGTTTCTGTCTCTAGAGAAACATGTTCTCACAACCTAGGCTGATCTGGTCTGGAGAAGCTGGGGCTTTCCTAGCTGAGCTCCCCTGGGTGTCCTTCCCTTCTCAGGCTCCCAATTCCCCCTCTCACCTCAGCACTAATGAAAAGTTGTAGCAACTAGTTCATCCTTCCTCTGGCTGGCTGCAGTGCTGAGATTGCTACAAAATGTAGCTTCTATCTCATTAATCCCCCTTCCACCTCCCCCTCCCCCACCCGGGTAGAAAGCGCCTTGCTGGCATTGCATTTCTCTACGTGGCCTGAGTATAAAGTGGTTCTGATCTTTCCCTCCCTCCCCCACCCACCAGGCGCTGTCCTTGGTTCTGAAATGTTCGTCATCCTCATGCTCTACCTCTGGTTTGCTGTGGGCCTGGCCTGTGCTGGCTTCTGCTGTCACCAGCTGCTGTTGATCCTCCGAGGGCAGACTCGCCACCAGGCTCGAAAGGGGATGGCAGTCAGTGCCCGGCCTTGGCGCAAGAATTTACAAGAGGTCTTTGGAAAGAGATGGCTGCTGGGCCTGCTGGTCCCCATGTTCAATGTTGGAAGCGAGAGCTCTAAGCAGCAGGACAAGTAGCAGGTCAGACACTCTGGTCGTTTCTGTGTCTCCATTCCTCCTGCACACAAGACCATGGCACCTTGTCTCCACCATGACCCACAACAACTCCAGGCTGGTAAGGTCCTCTCACTCCAGGGTCTTCAACCCACAGAACACAGCACTAGCTGGTTGGATGGTGACCAAGAGGAAAACTGACCACCCAGGCATAGCCAGCCGACTGGCTGCTATTCAGATGCCTCTGCCTGGAAGATTTCTTCCTTCCCCCTTTGCCTGGCCCATCCACTCTACGGTCTCATGCCACAAGCTCTTTCTAGAGCTCTTTTCCTCTCATTACTGCTGCTCCCAGGACCTGGAGAATGGCAAATGTTCCGACGGCCCTGTGTGAGAGGCAGCCAAGTCAGCTCTGCCACCTGCTAGGGAGTTGGATGGGGGAAGAGGTATGTGTCCACACCCCGTCTATCAGACGGAGGGCAGCGAGGAGGAACACAGCACAGGTACTTACTGTCTACCCCCTGGCTCAACGTTCTTTCTCTGGAGGCAGCAACTCATGGCCTGCTATTGTCAGCCTGTCTCAGGTGGGCACCTTAGTCTAGGCCAGGATGTGGCTAGATGCTTCCTTCCCCTGGCACCCTTCCAGCCTCTGCCTTCAGTCTCCAACCTCTGGGCTTTTGGTCAGGTGTTAGGAAAGGAAGGAGGAAGAGAGAGAGAGAGAAAGAGGAGTTACTGATAAATGAGAGAGGCATGTAACTGCATAGCTGCATAGAAGAGAAAGAGGGAGGGAGAGAGAAGGGAGAGAAGGAGAAAGAGAGCAAGAGATGGATATAGAAGAAGAAAGCTTAAGGGAGGGGGTAGTAAAAGGGGTAAACAGGTTCATTTATGTCCTGTATAAAGGACATTCTAGCAGCTAAAGCTGTTCTATGCTGGAATGTTACCTGGGGAGGGAGTGGGTGCTGCACTGCTGGAGGTATTTAAAGCATCTAGGAAATGGTCTCTCAGACATGTTGTGCAAGAGATTTCTGCACAACCTTGTTGTGGATAAACTTAAAGTCTCTTCCTACTCCAAGATACCTGGGTCTTCTTTGCCACTGCTGGGCCCTAGGGCCAGAGCTGCAGAGATGCCTGAGAGCTATTTGCTTTCTTTGAGGTTAGGATAGACCTGGGAGGAGTCTGAAAATCACCCAAAGGCTTAGGCCCCAACCACCAAGAGAGGACTAGCCAGGTATTAATAGTGACTGGTGGGGGAGCGGGGCAGCATTTGAGGGCAAGGGTGTGAAACAATACGTCAGGTCAGGGAGAGGCATCTGTGGGAAGAGAAGCAAAGCCCGAAGGTCATGCTCAGCTCTAGGGGAAGAGGTTTGGGGAGTGAAGGCTGAGATATGGCAATGTCTAGAATGTGAACATGAAAATTGCCAGACTATCCAAATGCTGTCACTAACTTTGGATGCAGGCAGTGTTTTGTGTTTTGGGACCCAGAGCACCAGACCCCTGGGGCATATGAGGGAGTGGGGAACAACACAAGGGCCCCCACTCCTGACTGGGTCCCTAGGCCAATCTGGCATCATTACATCATTACAGGCCGCCCACCCCTGCGTGGGTGGCCACCTGGACCCCAACCACTGTTGGACAATGCCTAGAATTCTTGAGCAAAGCGCAGGAAGACTTTACCTAGGCCCTGTCTTCACATCCCCTAGAGGGCTAATGTAGTATGGCTTGACTGCTCATATTTCCTCCCTGAATTCATTTGTGCAGTCATTCTTTCGTTCATCTTGCCTGTATTTATCAAGCACCAACTACAGGCCAAGCCACAGGCACTGGCAAACAGGAAGACAAGATCCCTGCCACTGGGGACCCCTTGCCACTATGTACTGACTCCCACCCTATTGACAAATGGTCACTCTGCCATCTTGGTGGTCAAGGGACAGGCCACTTGGAGGGGAAGGAGATGGCAGGGGGAAGCCTCTTCAGTGGAGGAATCACGGGGTGTCACTCATTCCTAACTCTGGGGTCACACTTGAGCAGCAGGGGAGGGCTGAGGAGAGGAGGGGCGTGGACAATGCAGACTTCCGCTTTCTCTAGACTCTGAAGTTCAAGCTTGGAAGCAGGTCCTGCCATGCCCAGCCTCCTGGAGGCTCAGCAGCATGAACCTGGCACCCCAGAAGGAGATGAAAGGTAGACCTGCAGAGGCCAGTTCCTTCAACACTGATCAGTGGGTGGTGACCTTGGGGAGGGTGATAGGTGTGGAACTTGAGTGGCATTAGCACATATGGTTATTGTCAATGAAGAACACCAATAAAATATGTGATTTTAGGCTGGATTTGATGATCTTGTGAGCTCTGCAGTTGGCAGAGGTCTTATGGGGCTGGTGTGCGCCGAGATCATCAGATCAGTGGGCCAGTGAGGAGGAGAATAAACAAAGAATCCATCTGCTCCTTCATCAGGACCAGCTAATTGCCCCCAAGGATTGCCCATAACCCTGGGGTCTCTGGAGACGTCCAGGAAGACATAGGGCCATGAAGGAGCAAGCTCTGAGGTGAACAGACTTAGCCTCTGATGTATCCTAAGACAGCAGGTCTGGACTGCTAGGAGATGTGATTACAACAGGCTGATTCTCTCTGGATTATCAAAGAACCTTCAGCTGAGGCCTGTGTTACAGTGGTCTGCATTCTACACACACACACACACACACACACACACACACACACACACACACACACACAGAGGCAACCAGCAAGCCAGCTCCCAGATGAATGGACTTGTGGCTTCAATACCTTTGACATCATGGCTGCTATTACTGTACAGGCAGATACCCCTGCCTTTTTGCCTTTGTATCCTTGGTACCTGGCAGAGGTGAGGCACATAGTAGGAAAGCAGAAGGCTGTGCTCATTTGTGTGCTGTACAACACTTATTCTCATGTGTCCAGTGCTGTGTTCTGTCCCTGAGAAGTTCTTACCCTGGAAGAGGCTCCTCGAAAGAGGGAGAAGGCACAGACAGCTGTCAGGACAAGAAGAGGGGCCCATGTGTGCAGGCCTGGAAGGATGGACAGACTTCAGCAGATAGAGAGGGACCAGAAGGGCCTGTCCAGTAGGGGGAACAGGCCTAAAACCTTGGAACACAGGGAGCAAGGAGTTAAGGCTGAGAATTGGCATCTTTGAATACCAAGATAAGGAATCCACAGCCAATAGGAAGTCACTGAAGGTTAGAGGCAGAGAGTGACAGGATCAAGGCTAGATTTTAGGTACTTCTCAGAATGGGGCACAATCTGATGGTGCTGAGAAGGGGGTCCAAAATGGCTGTGAAGGTTGGAACTGGGTAAGTAGGGAAACTTCAAAGAACAGGCTGGCAGGAACACTGGGGTAAGGAGAAAATTGCCATGTTGAAGTCAGTCACTGAAACATTTGCCTCTCATTGGCTCATCAGTGGAGAAATGATGATGTCATTATTTTTTCTCTTATGATGTGCCAGTACTGGGGCTTGAACTCAGGGCCTCATGCTCTAAGGGGCTTGAACTCAGGGCCTCATGCTCTAATTTGGCTTTTTTTTTTTTTTTTCTCAAGGCTGGCGCTTTACCACTTGAGTCACACCCCCCACCTTCAGCTTTTTGTTGGTTAATTAGAAATAAGAATCCCACAGGACTGTCTTCCCTGGGCTGGCTTCTAGCCATGATACCATGATCTCAGCCTTCTAAGTAGCTAAGATTACAGACTTGAGTCACCAGTGCCTGGCCTATTCTTTTTTATCTTTTTTTTTTTTTTTGCCGGTCATGAGGCATGAACTCTGGGTCTGGGCGCTGTCCCTCAGCTCTTCAGTTCAAGGCTAGCACTCTACCACTGGAGTCACAGCGCCACTTCCGGCTTTTTCTGTTTATGTAGTGCTGAGGAATTGAACCCAGGGCCTCATGCTTGCAAGGCATGCACTCTACCGCTGAGCTACCTTCCCAGCCCCTGGCCTATTATTCTTAACTACACTGCCACCTGACATGCAGCAAGGGGTTCTGGGGACATCTGCTGGCCACACATTGAGCCCAACTCACTGCTCCCCACAGCTGGGGGCTGAAGTCAGACATTTGGCTCCCAGTGCCTTATTATTCTCATCCAGAATGTGACAGGTGGGGAAGTAGGGAGGAGGGGAGGGAGAGAGGAGAGAGAGAGAGACAGACAGAGAGAGAGAGAGAGAGAGAGAGAGAGAGAGAGAGAGAGAGAGAGAGAGAGAGAGAGGCTGATTCCTGGGCCTGGTTTCCTTCCCTAGACACTGACTGTCCTTATCACTGACCAGGCACTTGGCTCCCAATACCCTGGGTCATCTTTGTACCCTGGGTTCTTACTGCTCATGAGTGACTCCCCCACCCATCTCCCTCCTACCGTGCTCTGCACATTCTTGCAGACTTGATTTGAGATGTGCTTCTCATGCAGGGAGTGCTTTGGAGGTGAAGCAGAGGGATCTCCTCTCCCAACTGGGGTAGTCTGCTATGAGGGTATGGGAGGTGTCCAGGGGTGGAGCTCAGCTGCCCCTGATGTTGGCTTAATGTTGGCAGTGAGGAAAGTGAAGGTAGAATCAGGGACTAATGTGAAGATCAGCAGAGCTACACCTCTCACTGCATGTTGCCAAAGCAGCAACTGCACACATTCCTCAAATATTCACTGATGCTGACTCTGTGCCAGGCACAATGCCAGGAGCCAGGAAAGTGAAGATGAATGAGACCTCAGGGAGCTCACAGGGAAGAGGACAAATTGCAGACAGTTGTGATTCCGTGGCCTGAGCATCCTGGTGGAGGACAAGCTGCTACAAGAAGTCTGAAGGAGAGCATGGGTGTCCTGGAAGGCTTCTCAGAGGAGGCAACGTCTGGGATCAGGTGGGATGAATAGGAGTGGGCCAGGCAAGCAAGCAGGGCTGCAGATGAGACTAGAGGGAGGAGGGAGAACACAGGGGCCCAGATGCCTGTGGCTTCTGGGTATGAAGAATCTGGGTTTGGGAGCGCTGGGGCATGAAGATACATCCTGTGACCACAGCTGGAGATTCTATCATTTTGTTCTTCTCCCCAGGACCTTGTCTCTTCCTCCTAATTACTTCCTACAAAACTGTCTCACACCAGCTCAGAGTCCTGTTTAAAATGACTCCTAGGGACCTCCCAGTTGACG